AATACAACTGTAGTAAACGACAGCTTTGAAGTACTCTACCAAGCACCTAGCCATACCTGGTTTACCTGCACAAATACGTTGACCAAGGGTGCCTCCTCTCTATGTTTAAAAGCACACCTCTAGTATGCATTCTAGTGGATATTCTTCCCCAAGTGTACTTGTATGATGGGCATGAGGGGAGGACCCTCATCTACCCTCCACCATCCTTGTCTGAGTGGAAGAGTACCAATGCTGGTACCGGCACTACTGGGACTGGGAGTTGCCAGGTCAACCAGGCGCTAATAAAAGGGGACATGAACCTTGGAAACTGTCTACTCAGACACTGACCTTGGCCACCTAAAAAAACTTGGTCTCACAGCTTGAGAGCCAAGAAGATTCCCTAGCTGAAATGGTCCTGCCAAACCAAAGGGGTCTGGATTGCCTCTTTCTCCAACAAGGGGGTCTATGTATGGCTCTGGGAGGAAATTGCTTCTTATGCAAACAATTCAGGGGTCATAAGAGACAGTCTGTCACAGGTGAGAAAGAACGTCCAGCTACAAAGGGAAAAGGACCGGCAAGAGAAAGGAGGGTCCCAAAATTTGATTCGTCTTCCTGGATAACTACGTTCATCGCAGCCAGGGCAGGCCCCTGCTCTGTCACTGTTGACCATCACAGTGGGACCTTGCATCATAGATTAGATTATTGGAACCGGTCCAGAGAAAATTAGCGCTATCAAACTCCTCATGGCCAGACAGACCTACACTCAAACTCCCAAAAACACCCATGGGAAATAGACATCAAAGACTCATTTGAGGATCTGCTGGAAGCCAGCCCCGGCAGCGAGGCCCCATGAGGCTGACCTCCAGCTAACCACTCAACAACCCCAAGTGAGTGGGGTCCCGAGCCCAGGGGGAGGGCGCTGCGGAGCGAGCAATGGAGTGTGGGAGAAGAGCCTATGGGGGGAGGTCCTGGGGGGAGAGGCAGGGCCTAGGGGGCGGGGTGGTGTGAGGGAGGGGCAGTGGAGGCGAGGGCTGATGTCCCCGTGGGGTGGAGGGGCCGTGGGGGGGGGGGGTGGTGGCAGAGGGGGGAGGGGCAGTATCGGTGTGGGGGAGGGGCCGCGTCCTATGGAGGGGGCCGTGGGGGAGGGGCTGCGTCCTGGGGGGGTCCGTGGGGGAGGGGGAGGGGCGGTGTGGGGAGGGGCCGTAGGGGGGTCCGTGGGGGAGGGGGGAAGGGCCGCGCGGGGGGGGTCCGTGGGGGAGGGGGGAGGGGCAGGATAGGGAAGTGGGGGGATCAGTGGGGTAATCCGTGGCGGGGGGGGGCGCCCAGCCGTCCCGGAAGGGGGCGGCCATGATTCTAACACCCCTGCAGGCTCGGGGCGGTGCTGGCGCACACGGTGGGTAACGGCCGGCTGACCCCAACACCACGCCCTGGCCCGGCCCTGGCCCGGTCTGGCCGGCCGCTCTGCCTCTCCTTGGGCTGAGGCACAGCCCGCACACGCGCCCCAAGCTGTGCTGCCCTGGCAGTGGCAGCACCTCACCCTGGGCCGGGAGGCGGCGGCTCCTCAGCGGTGGGGAAGGCAGCTGGGGAGAGCTCAACGTCCACAGCGGGCAACCCTGCCGCGCGGGTGGGACTCGCGGGTGGGGCGGGGCCGAGAGGGGGCGGGGCCAGTCAGGGGCGGGGCCACCCATGGGCGGGCGGCGAGGGGCGGGGCCGCGCGGGTGGGGCGGGCCAGTCAGGGGCGGGGCCACGCGGGGCGGGGCCAGTCAGGGCGGGGCCACCCATAGGCGGGGCCGCGCGGTGGGGCGGGGCCGCGCGGGGGCAGGGCTACTCAGGGGCGGGGCCATGTGGGGACGGGGCCACCCAGGGGTGGGACTCTCGGATTGAGCGGGGCCAGCCAGGGGCCGGACTCTAGGGTGGGGCGGGGCCAGCCAGGGGCCGGACTCTAGGGTGGGGCTGCGGGGACCGGGACGGAGTCGCAGTACGGGGGTGTGGCCGTCCAGGGGCAGGACTCGGGGGCGGGGTGGGGTCAAGTGGGGGGGCAAGACCGTGGGGTCTCCCTGTGCACATAAATGCATCTGTGTGCACACAGGTCCACACAGGTGTGCATACACCTATGGGCACACACACAAGTGGGCACACACAGGTGCACACATGTAGTTGCACAAATGCACATGTGTGTACACACAGGTGTGCGTGGACACATGCACACGTACACACCCTCTAGGGACAACGCAGGTCTGCCACCCTGGTAACTGCCACCCTACCCCCAAGTCCTGCTTAGGCGGCACAGTCTGAGCCCTGGAACACAGCACCTTCGTATCTTCCGGTCTCCCTCACCTGAAGTTTGAAAATGTGCTTTTGTGCTGAGTGGCTCACACTACTAAGGAGGCTGAATTCTGAGGGTCACGGTTCAAAGCCAGCCAGGGCAGGAAAGTCCATGCGACTTTTATTTCCAACTAACTTGCAAAAGGATAGAAACGGAGCTGTGGCTCAAGTAGTAGAGCGCTAGACTTGAGAAAGAAAGCTAGGGGAGAGTGCCCAGGACCTGAATTCAAGCCAGAAACTTGTTGGAGAAAAGGGTAGGCACCATAGGCAGCTTCAACCTTGCAGAATAACTGGTGCAATGTTTAAGGGTTTTTTATAAGGCAAGAGTGGTAGGGAAGCTGGGTGCTGGTGGTTCACGCCTGTCATCCCAGCTACTCAGGAGGCTGAGATCTGAAGATCACCTTCAAAGCCAGCCTGGGCAGGAAAGCCCAGGAGACTCTTATCTCCAATTAACCACCAGATAACCAGAAGTCGTACTGTAGCTCAAGTGGTAGAGAGCTAGGCTTGAGCTGAAGAGCTCAGGGACAGTGCCCAGGGCCGAGTTCAAGCCCCAGGACAAACAAAAATAAAACTAAAATTTATAAAGCCAAGCCAAAAGTATATGTGTGGCTAAAATGGTAGAGTGCCAGCCTTGAATGAAAAAGCTAAGCAAGAGCGTGAATTCCTGAGTTCAAGCCCCAGCACCGGCACAAAAACAAACAAAACCCACAACACTAAGAAAGAATTGAGACCAAAAAGGAGAAATGAAGCCTTTTGAAATATTATGTATTAATGTTGTACTCAACAAATACATATAAGTAACGAATGATACTATTTTAAAAGATAGAAATGGGGCTGAGAATGTAGCTTAGTGGTAGAGTGTTTGCCTAGCATGCATAAAGTTCTGGGTTCCAGTCCACAGTACCAGATAAACAGAAAAAGCCAGAAATGATGTCCTGGCTCAAGAGGTAGAGTGCTATCATTGAGCAAAAGAAGCTCAGGGAAGTGCTCAGGGAAGAACGAGATGCTTGAATGTGGGATGAGAAGTAGCTAAAACAGCTCAGGAGCCATTGTGTCCGTCCATCTTCACCAAGGCCTCAGACACAGGACCTGCCCTTTCTGTCTTCCACACACCCTGTCACACTGACCAAGAATCTGTTTGAACCAAATTTCAAAATTGATCTCCACTTCATTCTTAACTTTAAATCTACCGTGTCTCCAGCTCCCTCTAGTGGTCATACCAAAACCCACAGTCAAGGGAAGAGGTTAAGTGCAAGAATGTCTCCAGAGATCTGGAATTACTAGAGTTTTCCAGTCTGACACCTGGGGTTAATTTATAATCTCCCAGGAACACTCCTACTTATGGGAATATTGAGAAACAATTTCATAAAAAAAAAAAAAAACTGGGTCTGGGAATGTGGCTTAGTGGTAGAGTGCTTGCCTAGTATCATTGAAGCCCTGAGTTCGATTCCACATACACAAAAAAAGCTGGAAGTGGAGCTATGACTCAAAGTGGTAGACCTTGAGCAAAAGCAGCTCAGGGACAGGGCCTAAGCCAAGAATTATGGACCACAGCCCGGCACTGGCGGCTCACACCAGTAATCCTAGCTGCTCAGGAGGCTGAGATCTGAGGATCACAGTTCAAAGTCAGCCAGATCAGGAAAGTCCATTAGACACTTATCTCCAATAAAATACTCAGAAAAAGCAGGAAGTGGTACTGTAGCTGGCCTCAGGGACAGTGTTTAACCCTTTAGTTCAAGCCCCAGGACTGGCAAAGAGAAAGAAAGGAAGAAGGGAGGGGGGAGGAAGAAGAAGGAGGAGGGGGGGGGAGGGAGAGAGGGTAGGAAGGAGAGAGGGAGAGAGGGAGGGAGGGAGGGAGGAAAGATAGATTATGGGCCAAGCTGGGTAAACGTACTCATAGCCATTCTTTGCTCCCTAAGTGAACCCCCATTCAAGTGGGACTGGTTTGAGGCCGTCTAGGCTGTCAGCATCATCCCAGTTTGGAGGCCTGTGACTGGTAATTTATGTAATAGGAGACTCAGAAGAGCTTGAGTGCTCAGAGTCTGGGCGGCTACCCTCTCAGCCACTCCCTAGCCACTCCCTTGCCCTTAACAGCCTCGGTGATCTTTCAACTCAGCCCTACAAATCCCATGCCCACTTCCTCTGGGCCTTTTTTGGTGGTGAGGGAGGCTTGAACTCAGGGCCTGGCCATTGTTCCTAAACTTTTTCCCTCAAATCTAATGCTCTACCACTTTGAGCCACAGCTCCACTTCTGGTTTTCTGGTGGTTAATTGGAACTAAGTCTCTTGGACTTTGCTGCCCAGGCTAGTTTTGAACTGCGATCCTCAGATCTTAGCCTCCTAAGTAGCTAAGATTACAAGCCTGAGCCATCAGTGCCTAGCCCTCTGGCCTTTATGATCCAAGTTTCTCCACGGTTCCTCTTCATCCAATTCATCAGTCCTGTCAATCAGCATTGGTAAGATTAGCAGTGCACTAGAGAGAAAGTGTGGATCCTTTTCCTAGGGTTGCTGTAATAAGGACAGCATACAGGGAGCTTTAAGCAGAAATGTTATCTTGCCTTTCTGAAGTTGTCATTCTGTGGCCAGCTGCCAGCAGGGATGAGCAGGTTATAGAGGACCCTTCACTGCATCTCCCAGGTGTCAATGGCTGGTAATTGACACCTGGTTTACAATGTTAATAAAAAAGAAATACGTAGCTATATGTAAAACCTGGGAAGAGACTTTATTCCAGAATGCTAGGACAGGCAGAGACCGCTGGAATGGGATCTTGGAGCTGGGAAGAAACTGGACCCAACTTCAAGCAGAATCTATACCCAAGGAGCATGGAAGGAGGAGCTATATGGCGAATATATATGGAGCATGACCGAGGAACCTCAGGGCTGAGGGTGGTTCCGGCTACACTGGCCTAACAGTGCTAGCTGCAGATGGACAGATGACCAGACATCACCTAGGCGGTGGTAGTGGTGAAAAACAGCCGTTTATCAGACATGGGGCTGTTGTTGCTTCCAAATCGATGGGAGTTCTTTGGTCACACTTCTTTTTCCAAGTGCATGATTAGGCCTAGGAGCCCACAACTCAAGTTCGGACAAGCAGGGATCTGCCAGTTCCCCCACACACACCCTTCCTGTTCTAGAAAAGACTCTTCACTCCTTTGGATCATGTTGAGTCCATTTTTTCCTCAGGTGAGTCATGGGAGGAGCTGGGGCAGAAGGCTATGGTGAAGGATGCTGGTAGGGAGGGAATTAGCCTCGGATGGCAGGCTTGTGGAGCAGAGACTCCTTGGTTTGCACATGTCTCTGGTGATGGTGTCAGGGGTCCTAGTGACCTGACACGAACAGGGACATGGAGGCTTGGGGGGGAGGGGGGAGAGGATCCCACATACCCCTTCCTCATGGGACCCCTGATCTAAAGACCTGAGGGCTCTTCAGGGAGTCTTTTCATGCTCCACACGGCTCACACTCTGCGCTAGATGGGATGCATTCACCACTTTGCTGAGACCAGATCCTGGGCCCTGGGAGCTTCAAGGCCTTTTCCCCATCAGGGACCTGCCTGACCCTCTCAGCTTCCTGCAGTACCTAGCTCAGCCACCAGGACACTCAGAGACCCTTCTCCCAGGGAGGGTCACGTAGCTATGGACATCTCTCTTCTGCACATCTCTTGACTAAGTCCTGACATGGGCATACCACAGGGGATCAAGAAATAAAGCCCAGGTTCAGGGCACAAATAAAATATCAGCAAAAAAAATTTTTAAACAACAAATGACCATCACAAAGGTATTTGATTTTAAAAAAAATTATGAAAGTGACCTCTGAGTGTGCTGAGAAACGGAGACCACTGGCCTGCAGTGCCCTCTCCAGAAGCCTTGGCCACGCACGTGGGTCTGTGTGTGGCCAGGAGGGTCAGGAATCGGGGCACAGGCCATGGGCAGCAGCTCTGAGTCCCACTGGCCACCAGCAAAGGACAGACCAGGCTCCTTCAAGGCCTGACCGCCTCCCCCCCCCCAGGGTCTGCACTCTGGGTGGCCTGGGGCTGGCAAGCAGCTGGGAGGACCTCCCCCTGTCACACGGGATGTCCAGAAGCCTCAGAGCAGGGGTATGGATGGTCAGTGAGGACCAAGAGCAATCAGAGAGGAAGGAATCCAGACCCAAATCCAGTGCCTCTTCCCGCTGACCCCAGACTCCAAGGCCCAGAGGCCGACTGGACAGAGCAGCATCTGTGTCCTCACCTGCACCCCCCCCCCAACCCAGACCACCAAGGTGAGCCCAGCTTCCTGCAGGGCAGCCCAGGGCCACTGCAGGCCCTCGAGGGAGTCAGGGGGCCACAGCTGACCCACCCAATGACTTTATCCCCAGTGAGCCACAGAGTAGATGGAGGGGCGGGCCCCAGGGTGAGTCCACTCTGCAATGAGCACCTGCCTCAGAGTAGAGCAGGTGCTCTGAGATACTCAGTGAACTAGTTATGCTCAAGCCCCAGATATACCTCATGTCTAGCAGAAGCAGCATCCACCACCCTCTGGGAACCTTCCTTCACCCACAAAATAAAAGAGGGGCATTAAAGGAACTGAGGACAGGCCACACTGAATGCACAGGGCTGGCAAAGGCACCTCGAGATCTCCAGTCCAGTACCAAATTGCCACTGCTGTCAGCTTGGGATGCTGAGTCCTGTCCAGAGCCCACCCTGGCTGCCTGTCCAGGAACTGGGAACCCAGAGGACAGTCCTACAGATGGCCGCCTGGCATCCAGGTCAGGAGGAAGCGGCCGGGTACCCGTAACGGTTGGACTCAGCCTCGCCAAGGGTCAGCGTCAACGCCAGGCTGGGCTTGCGCTCCAGCTCCTCATCATCCTGGCAGGGCAGCGGGGGCCGAGATTTGAAGAAGTCTGAGACGTAGTGGACCTGGGAAAAAAAGAGTCTGTGTCATGAGGTAAGCGGGCAGACAATGAGCAGGACAGGAGGAAAGGCGGGAGGAGGAGGAAGAGGAGGAGACCCAAAAAGGAAGGCCTGTGGAAGGCACTGAGGAAAATGGAGCCAGGGATGGGAGACTGAGCAAGGACAGGGCACCGGGGAAACTGTAAGGTTAGGGTGGGCTGGGGTCCTGCAGGCGTCTAGAAGGGTGAAGGGGTGGAGGGAGGAGGAGGCAGAATCCAGGGCTCACAGTGAGGCCAGCCACCAGCGCCCCCTGCAGGAGACCGACGAACACATCGCTCCAGTGGTGCTTGTGGTCAGATACGCGGGTGTACCCCACATAGAGGGCAAAGGCCACCAGGAAGAACTGAACTGTGGGCCGCAGCAGCCGTGCCCACTTCCAGCAGAGCCGCGCCTGCACGTACAGCTGGGGGGGGGTTGCGGGAAAGGGGGCATCAGCCTGGGTACTGCCCACAACCTCCTGGTCCCAACCAGGACAGAGGATGGCGGTGTAGAGTACCCAGGCTGTAAGCCCCCCCCAGCACCACCTGACACCTTATCTCTCCGTGCATCTGGGGAGACCGAGGCTCAGGGAAGGGGTGTGGGGCTCCCCAGCTAGCATTTGGCAGAGAAACTCACCGCCAAGAACACCATACAGTACATGCCGAAGGAAGAATGTCCGGAGTAGAAAGACAGTCTAGGAAAGAAGAGGGCAGAGGAGAGTTCAGTGGGGCATGGGGCAGCAGGGCCAGACTCCCAGCCACTCCCTCAGCATCGCTGTCCTCCAAACCTCCCAGGTCTCAGCCTGTGACTGGCAGTAAGCAACCGCACAATGGAGCTCATCCCAGCACGATGAAGTTGTCATTATTCCCTTCCACACAATGGAACCAGATGTCAGACTAGGGCTTACAGCCAGCACTGCAGGCTTTCCAGGACCCAGGTGAAACCCCATCCATCACCCAGGCAGCTGGGGCCCCTTCTGTATCCACAGACTTTCTCCTAGGACTGTTTCTTACCTAGGGAAATCGAGGGAGCACTACACCATCTGTCCATGTGAATCCCAGATCTAGCTGGGTGTTGGTAGCTCACACCTGTAAATGCTAGCTATTCAGGGGGGTCTAAGATTTGAGGATCACAGTCTGAAGCCAGCCTAGGCAAGAAAGTCCATGAGCTCTTATTTTCCTCCAAGTAATCAGCAAAAAGCTAGAAATGAAGCCTGTGGCTCAAGTGGTAGTGAACCAGCCTTGAGTGAAAAAAGTCCTAAGGGCCATCACCCAGGCACTGAGTTCAAGCCCTAGTATTGCCCCCACCTCCTCCTATACACATCCACATCCACACACAACCCAGATTTAGCAACAGATGGCAGAGATAACAGAAGGGACAGAGCAAGGCATAGTGTGGGTGGCAAGCAAGCACAGCAGGGCAGGGCCATTGCCTGCAGCCCTGCAAACCAACCAGAAGCGACTGCAGCCAGAGGGCACTGGGACACGAGGCCCCGCACCACCATGCAGAGCCAGTGTCTCTATTTTGCTCCTAGAGCAGACACAGCACCCAGGGCTCACGCCTATAATCCTAGCTCCTGAGGAGGTTGAGATCTGAGGATTGCAGTTCAAAGCCATGAGCCGCTGATCTCCAATTAACCAGCAAAAAAAAGAAAAAGAAAAAAAAAGCCAGAAGTGGAGCTGTGGCTCAAATAGAGGGTACTAGCCTTGTGCAAAAGCAGCTCAGGGACAGCACCCAGGCTCTGAGTTCAAGCCCCAGGGCTGGCACTCACCTGGCCTCGGTGACATTGGCCGCGCTTCCCCTGCACACTCTGTCCAGCTGCACATAGGCTGAGCAGTTGACCCGGCTCCAGTCAGGATCACAGACAGCCAGGAAGTTGGGACGCAGACGGCCGATCATGTACTTGGCCAGGTCAGTCAGTGATTGGCTCACGGCCGCCCCAAACAGGAAGGTCCCCAGGACCTTGTAGACAGCGGCCACATAGTTGTTGAAGTCGGAGCGCGAGTAGAGGCGGTCCGTGTATACCAGGTAAGCCTCGCCGGCTGACACCTGCCAAGGGAGCGGCTGCCGCAGGCCCAGGAGGGCTACAGGCCCAGGGGGAACAGGGCTTGGCTTGTTCTGGTAGGGCTGTGTCCCCACCCCCAACCCACTTCCCTTATTCTCTCCAGGTACATCCTGGTCAGCCCCCTCCCTCCCCTCCAAGCCCTTCCCGCCTTACGAGGAGGACAGTGGCTGTGATGGTGACCCCGGCCATGACCCCGTGGGTGATGGTGTCCGGGCGGTAGGGGTAGCGGATGGAGTCATCGCCACAGTAGAACCCCCGCTTGTACGGTGTGTTCACCAGAGTCAGGATGACGAAGGGCAGAGAGGCTGTGGGAAACCACACGAGGCATATGCCTGTCCCTAGAGGTACCTGGGAACCCAAGTACCTACCTACTCTGCTCCCATCCTCTCCCGTGATGTCTGCTACCTCCCTGCTGCTCAGGCACCTTCAAGAGACGCCATGTCCACTACAGTCCCAATAAACCCAACCAGTGGCACCACCCACCTCCACCACCTCCCTCCCTCCCCACCCTCAGCCTCTCTGGCTTCCTTTCTGCTCCTGGAAATGTGGCCAGCACCCAGCCCAGGGCCTTTGCACATGCAAAGCCCTCAAGCTGCCTTCCACCCACCTTACTGAAGCTCCCCTCCCTTTGGCCCCCAGTATCAGTGTCACAGTGTAGCCTCCATTTGTCTGAGGCCTGGCAAGATTCACCATATGCATTTGTGTGCCCTGGTGCCTGATGATGTAAGGGAGACATCTACCAATACCAGGAAGGCTAACAGGGGCCATTGGGCTCCACCGCACACGGCAAGGTGCAGGTAGACATGCCTTCTGCAGGGAAAGGGGCTCTAATTTACCTTTACATCAGGACAGATGGTGGCCCAGACAGACCCAGCCCGGCCTCAACATTGTAATCAAATTGTCAAGATTGTGCCAGGCAGGCGGGCCCTGGGAGCCTGGGCCCTGTGAAGCTAGCCTGGCAGGAAAGCAGGAGCCACTCTCAAGGATGGGGCAGGAGACAGAGCTCCGGAGAGAAATGCAGCAAAGATGCCCTTTGTCCCAGGGCAGGGCAGTTTCCTAGGTCCCCAAAGCTGGAGGGCATGATGGGAGGGCCTCACCCCTACACAAGATCTTCCAGGCCTGGGCTGAGCTCTGACTAGGAAGATATTAAAGTCAGCCTCCAGGGAGGGGGCAAGGATTTAGGCCAGGAGTGGAGGGCAGGACAGGAAGTGGGGAGCAGGAGATGAACAGCACAGGCAGGGTGGGCACCAGGTGTGTAGGAGCCAGCACTTAGCTGTGGGGGGCTGGCCGGCTTCACGGGATCTCTCCTCCCCTGGGAGATTCTTCCCCAGTGGGAACAGGAGTTGGGTGGTGACAACACGGGGGTCTTGGCGCTTCCCTCGGTGCGGAAAGCTGGGGACCGGCAGGCAAAGCCTCCCTGGCTCCCACTCCTCCTGGTACTTAAAACCTACACCGACTGAAACGTTTAGGAACTCAGATTTCCAACCTCGGCCTCGGCCGCCACCACGGGGCACCTAGCAGCAATATGCAAATGCCTTCCGCCCTGCAGCCTCTGTGTGACCTCCACCAGGTGACTCAACCTCTCTGGGACCAAAATTGCTTGGAAGGAAAGGTGCAATTATTTGTTCTATCCCCACCTTGGTGCCTGCCACATGAAAGGTTCACAGAATAACAACTAAAAACCTGGGCACTGCAGAAAACGGTAGCTCAGGCTGGGAGGCCAAGGGGGAGCTCCCCACCCCCACCCAGAGCCTTAGGGTACCATTCCGGGGCCATTGTCCGGTTGGCCAAGGGCAAACACTCGGCCTTTGTTCCCGGCCCAGGAGGGGCGGGGAAGGGGGCGGGGAGAGTCCGGGATGCACCTCCCTCTCCCCCCCTCCTCCCAGCCCCCGCCCGTCTCAAACCTGCCAGGCAGGTTTGGCTCCCGGGGCCCCGGCCCAACACGGCGACCCGGCTGCCCTCGCCCCCCACCCCGGGCCCCGGGCCGGAGGGGCGGGCGCTGGACCTTGCCCGCAGCCCCGAGGTCCCGGCAGCCGCGCCCGCCCTCCCCGCCCGCGTGAGTCACCGTCGTCCCGCGGCCCTCGGGCGACTTCCTGAAGTCTGCCGGCCAGCGGGGCGGGACGGCGGGCGGGAGCGGCCTCCCCCGGGGCTGCCGGGCACCCCGCGCCCCAGAAAGCCCGGGCCGGGCCGGGGAGCCGCGAGGGAGGCTCCGGGAGACCCCGGGGACGCGACCCCGGGTCCCCACCTGGCGGCCGCGCTCCGGAGCGCGGTCGCGTGGGCCCCGCCCCGCCACCATCACGGGCCGGGGGCGTGTCCGCCCGGGAGAGAAGGGGACCCCCGCCGCACCCGGGTGCCCGCGGCTCTTACCGACCAGCACGCACAGCACGTCCAGCAGCACGAAGACCCACCTCCGCTCCATGCCGCCCACGCCCGGGCCCCGGCCCCGCGACCCCCGGCGCCCTTCCCAGCTGTGCCGTCCTGTCCCAGCGGCTGCAGGGTCACATGGCTGCGGCGCCGGCCCGGAGCCCCGGGAACCGACGGGGCAGGGGCGGGGCGGAGGCCGGGGGCGGGGCGAGGGAGGTGGGCGTGGTTCGGGGGCGGGGCGGGGCTAGGACGCGGGAAGGGTGGAGCGAGCAGGGGGCGGGGCTGAGGGGTGGGCGTGGTTAGTTGGCAGTGGGTGGGGCCGTGGGGGCGGGGCTGGGGCGGGGCGGCGCCGAAGATTCACCGGGAGCCGGTGTCAGGCACTGGGGATCCCGAGAGTGGAGGTCTCCCGGGGGTGTCCTAGCTGCTGGAGGGGTCGCCGCACTCTCAGGGACCGTGAGCTCGAGGTCACCCGAGGCGACCCCCGGGCTGCGGGGAGGAGAGGGCAGCAGAGTCCTCGCGGGAGGGGCTGCCCCCGCGGGACGGCGCGGCGCGGGATGCATTCCTTCTCTCTCCTCTCCCCGGCGACGACGACGCTCGTGCTGGACACCCCCGAACTTCTGCAACCAGGAAGAACCTAAGGGCGGGGCGGCCTGGCGCCATCGACCTCGTTCCTCCGCACCTCGAGTCCTGGGGTAGGAGGCCCAGAGCCACGGCCTCCTGCTCCGCGGGTAGATAGGCCCCTGGAGATGGAAAGGCGACTGGACCAGCTCTGCATTTCCTGGGGAGGATCCTGGAAGCCCACACCGGGGCGAGGGGTGGGGGAGGGCGGGTGTGGGAGGAGGGAGACAAGGGTACCCAGCAAATCCTCCCCTTTGGTTATTCCAAACACCATATCGGGTTTCTTTGGGCTGGTCAGACACCACTATGGTCAGACACTTCCTGGGGACCCTGCCTTAACCTTAGGCATCCAGCTAACCTTAGCCCAAGGCTGCGGGTGGGGGGGGGGGGGGAATGGCAGGGCTGGCCTCAGAGTCTGAGGGTCTTGACCACCTAGGCCAAACTCCATCAGCCCCTCACCTCAAAAACCCCAAGATAGAGTGAGTCTCAAATCTCAAGGCTGTGTGTGTGTGTGTGTGTGTGTGTGTAGACTAGAGGTCATCAGAAGTTAGGAGAAGAGCAGCCCTCTATCCAATATCAAATCAGAGACTCATCCAGACACTAGTGGCTCACACCTGTAATCCTAGCTACACAGGAGGCTGAGATTTGAAGATTACAGTTTCACAGTTCAAGGCCAGCCTGGGCCAGAATAGACCCTGAGACTCTTCAATTAACCACCAAAAAGTCACAAGCAGAGATGTGGCTCGCATGGGACAGAGCCCACGCCCTGAGTTCAAGCCCCAGGACCAGCACGTACACAACACACTCACACACATAACCAGAGACTCCACATCTGGTAGTGAGTATCCTAGTTAGGAGTTCTGGGAGAGCCTAGGCACCCACCCTTTGGTGCTGAGTCAGGCAGAGCAGGGAGGGAAGGTCTGTGTGCCCAGGATGAAGGGCCTGGGAATGAACAGATAGAGCCACCCCACACTTAGATTTCTGCTCTATGCTCAGGCAGCTGGGTGGGAGGAGTGTGGGGAAGCCCAGTGCCCATCGCAAATGCATTGTAGAGACCTCAGTGGTCACAGTGCTAGCTTCAGGTCATCCTGGGGGCAGGCTCTGCCCACTGGGTTCCTACTGAAAACCCAGAGTGCACTGTCCTCAACCCATTATTTGCTCACTCATTCATTCTATCATGTGGAGACTGTGTTAATAGAATTGTGAGGATTACCCCTACACTATATGGCATGTGTCCTCAGCTAGCAACTGGCATAAACAGACTATAAAGACATACCCACATATGAAACCATCCAACCTCAAGAGGACCTAAAGGTACACCTGTGTAGGTGCAAGGCTGTATTGAAGTCAAGGAAATGTGAAGTTCCTTTTTATTAATTTTGCCTGCTGCAGAGTTTGAATTCAGTGCCTTTGAGCTTACTCAACTTGCTTGCTAAGCTGGTTTTCTGCCACTTAAGCCATGCCTCCCACCCAGCTTTTTGCTGGTTATTTTGGAGTTAAGAATCTCACACTTTTCGGTCCCAGCTGGCATTGAACCAAAAATCCTCTGGAGTGGGGAGATCCTCTGGATCTCAGCCTCCTGAGTAGTTAGGATTATAGGTATGAACCCCCAGCACCCAGCTCAAGTTCTTTAACAGCTGATGTGTGCTGGGAATGGGGCCTCTGGGGACACTGGGAGAGGCTACTGCAGGACAGAGAGTCTGGCTGGAGGCAGGAGTAGGTGAATTTGGAGGAATAAGTAGTGGAGGTTAAGGTTGGACTGAAGCTGGAGGGGTAAGACTAGAAGAGGGGTGAATCTGGAGGGTACCCCCTCTCCCACCCTTCCTCTTGATCAGGATTTAGGTCAGTCCTGGAAATCCCTGGACAGAATCAGGATTAAAACCTGGTGGGGGCAGCAAAAATGAGGATTAGGGTTAGGATTGGGGTCAAGGCTCCTACATCCATTCCTGGGGCAGCCCAGAGTTCTCATACCTGGCCCCACTACAGACCCAGCTGCTCAGCCCCATGGGGCACCCAGCCTGCCTCCTGGCAGATGGCAGCCATGGAGGGACTGATTGGTTTTGGGGTCTTGCCCACATCCCCTTCATGGCAGACCCCACTGCCCAAGGCCTGGTGGTCTCAGGTATGGGGCTCAGGGCTCTGCATTATAGCTCTGGCCCCTGAGCTCTTTCTCTCCATCTGGCACTCCAGGGTTTATTTTGGGATTTTGTTTAGTGGTGCTGGTCCTAGGGCTTGAACACAGGGCTTAGGCACTGTTCCTGAGCTTTTTTTGTTCAAGGCTAACACTCTACCACTTGGGCCACAGCTCCACTTCTAGCTTTCTGCTGGTTAATTGAAGATAAGAGTCTCACAGACTTTCCTGCCTGGGCTGCCTTTGAACTGAGATCCTCATATCTCAGCTTCCAAAGTAGCTAAAATTATAGGAACTGATGCCTGGCCTCAGATTTTGTTGTTGTTGTTATTGATATATATTTTTTATTTGTTTATTTGTCTGTCATGGGGCTTGAACTCTGGGCCTGGGTGCTGTCCCTTAGCTCTTCAGCTCAAGGCAAGCACTCTACCACTTGAGCCACAGAGCCACTGATTTATTGGAGATAGGTCTTACAGACTTTCCTGCCCAGGCTGGCTTTGAACCTCAATCCTCAGATCTCAGCCTCCTGAGTAGCTGCAATTACAGGCATGAGCCACAAGAACCTGGCTCAACTACTTCTTTTACAAAACACAGAGACTGTGGTGCCAGGCCTTCCTCACACCATGCACGGTATATCCCCACTGTAAGCCAGGATGTGATGAGCTAAGGAGTTGCATTAGCAAGCAACACCCAAAAAGTCCAGGATCAGAGGCCAGCCACCAGCGATCTGAATCCTCTGTCTCAAGGAGACCCTATTCCCAACACTCTTCCCCACTGGTGATGGCCTGGGCTCATGTCCCCAGGTCAGGCCTAGTTCCCAAGTGCAGGTGGTGACTATGAAATTCCCCAGGGAGGCTCAAGCCAGCTGGGCACACACCGGCTCTGGAATGCCACTATCATCCACCTGCCTGACCATTAATCACAAAGGCACAGCCACCAGTGCTAGCCCGGAACATGACTGGGGAGTATCTTGTGTGCGGGCGCAGGGTCAGAACTTCACACTCAATCTCTATGTCCTGGTATCAGCCCGAGAGCAGAGCTGTGATTGCATGAGTTGAATGAGCACAATACTGGGCTGACACAGGGCAATAAGCCACTTTAAAAAAAAAAAAATTACTTGAGGGCTAGCTAGGAAGGTGGCTCAGTGGTAGAGCGCTAGCCTTGCATGCATGAAGCCCTGGGTTCAATTCCTCAGCACCACATAAGCAGAAAAAAGCCAGAAATGGTGCTGTGGCTTAAGTCGTAGGGCGCTAGCCTTGAGCTGAAGAGCTGAGGGACAGTGCTCAGGCCCAGAGTTCAGGCCCCACAATCCACAAAATAATAATAATTACTTGAGTGTATATGCTTGTACTGGGTTTGAACTCGGGGCCTAGAAAGTGTCCCTTAGCTTTTTTGTTTAATGTTAGCACTCTACCATTTGGGCCACACCTCTACTTCCTGCTTTTTGGTGGCTAATTGGAGATAAGTCTCCCAGACTTTCAGCTGGCTTTGCATCTGTCCTCAGATCTCAGCCTCTTGAGTAGCTGGGATTACAGGTGTGAGCAGCCAATATCCAGGCTAACAAGCCATTTTTTTTTTTTTTTTGCCGGAGGTGGGCTAAACTCGGCCTGGGTGCTGTCCCTCAGCTCTTCAGCTCAAGGCGAGGGCTCTACCACCTGAGTCACAGAGCCACTTCCAGTGTTCTGGTGATAAGAGTCTCACAGAAGTTCCTGCCTGGGCTGGCTTTGAACCTTGATCCTCAGATCTCAGCCTCTTGAGTAGCTGGGATTACAGGCGTGAGCCACCAGCACCCAGCACAAACCACTTTTTAATGTAATTATGTCACCATACTGTAGGAGCAATACATGTGTATAATAAGAACTTAACTGTATTTTACTCTACTGAGAAGCTACAAACCAGGAAAGAAAGACCATCAGGGAGAGGTGGTCTTCTAAAAGTCTGGATGGAGCCCAAATGTCCACTGCTTCCCTGGCCAGGAAGACCACAGTTAGAGCAATGAATTCAGGACCCTCTACTCTGGGCAACTTTCTGGCTTCCAGAAGGAAGGCGCCTGGAGAAGGTACAGGTGGAGGCTCAGTTTTCAGGCCCACATCCACCAGCTCTGTGCAATGCTGGCTGAAGTGCAGGGGTCCCAGAAAGGCCTTCACACCTGCTGGAAAAGTGAAAAACAAACTTTTCTTCAAGTTTGTTCCAGAAGGAGGGAATTCTAACTGGTAGGCCTTGTCCTGAGGGCTGGGAAGGCAAGAATTGGAACATCTCAGGCCCTTCTGCAGATCTGCCTGGCATCGACCCCAGCTGGAGACAAGGGGCCAACAGCCTGGGCTGACTTTCCTATTGGCTCTCCTTATACACACTGTGTAGTGTACAACCAGAAACACATCATTGGCAA